AGCTGCCACCCATTCGTTAGCAGCATTATTTCTCTGTAAATGTCGTACGTGATAAGTTGCACAACCGGATTCTGATAGACTAAAGGACAGGAGTTCCACGAGGACCCACTCAAAATGTTCTTCATCATAAACAATAGCCTGAGTGCCTAGAGAAAAGATTTATGAATCAATAACCATTTGATACAATTCCTTCAAAATTATGCTAACTTCTAAGATCATGATCGAATAGGTAGAATACATCTCTCACCACTAATACATCATCACCTATTTGCAAACCAAAATCGATGTCATGTAAACCGTGTGTTTCCATATGATCAGCCATTTCATCATGATGTAAAACCTTGCGGCAATCGGAGCATTGATGTCCAAAATCGATATTTTGGAAACTTTCTTCAATTTCTTCACCATTTTCAATCAGTTTGAGACGAAATCTAATATTTTCATCTAAACATGGCTTACAAGTTTCCTCGAGTGTGGCTTGTTGACCACGAACAGTAACCATATGACCTTCAAAGAATGTAAAATCACTGCATAGCTTTTATTTCATTTCATATATGAAAACCTTTGTATTCCGCCAAAAAACGAAGATAAACTTTTGTTAAGGTATGTCCAAGATGAACTGCTCGGTCTAAATGCTTTAGCAAATAGTCTCTAGGTACATATGACCCACACGTGCAACGAACACGGTGAAGACAGACATTACGTGCTGGCACTTCTCTAGAATCTGAAAAGTGACTGCTGTAATTGACATGGTAGTGGCAAGAGTTTGAGAGATGGACATCAATAATTTGAGCCTCGATCCAAACGCCATAGCCTTCATGATAAATTAAACACTTCTCATCTGAAAAATATTTTCATCAACTACTAGTAAATCAATACCATTTTTCTTGTTGATTTTATCGGTCTGCTCACTTCGAAGCGTTATATTGAAATCGTTAATACAATCGTTTACATCCTTTATAAACTCTTGAAAATTGGCCGAATCAGCCTCATTGGGATCAATATTGACTCTATTCGGTTCCACCATATCTTCATCGTTTCGATCGAAACGAACATGGAAATAACATGCAGAATTTTCCTCAGTAAACGCACGGAGCTCAGCGTCTTTTGCGTATGGAGTACCATATGAAGGTCGTTCATAACGCACTTTACACGGACGATCTTGATAATAAATGGAACCAAATGAAATGATTTGTACTTGAAAATTATTTCATACATTTTCAGTCGATACCTTGGTAGTACATTTCGAATTGTTGAGCCAATATTTTGAATTTTCGTGCGATTTCAACAGCCGGATCTAAATTTGCCATCTCTCAATTATCAATTAACGGTAAATTTCGAAACAATCAATCGAATTTCACGAATTTATTCTGATTTCAACTTTTCGATGAATTTTTCTTCTTAACGTGTCGATTTTTGCGCTCTGAATGATTGAAATAGGACTTTCAAAGTTTTATTTTTCATTTAAATTGACAACTCTCAAAGTTCCAAATACTGCAAAGCCAACATTGTTGGAAAAAGAATCACAACAACGTCAGATGTTTGCATTTCTATCAAAAGTATCGCCCAATTAATCGTAGTAACCTAACATTTCCATTTAGCTTATTGAAAAATGTGGGTATGTTGCGACAGTTGTGACTTTTCAGTTTTTTTTTTTGCAGAACTTATAAAAGATTAGTAGATTGGTGGTTTTAACAAATCTATAAAACTTGGGATGCGTCGTTATGTCTCATCTTTTATCTCTTATCTCGCAAAGTTTTCACAATTTTCAGCGACGACAATTTTCTCCTCAGAAGCGCAAGCATTCAGAATAAATAAATAAATAAATAAACATTCAACGATCAGATACTCTGTATTTTATTTAATAGCTTATCCAAACCTAACCAAATGTACCGCTATCATCAGCGTGCCTTAATTCATGTTCTTCAAATTCATCTTGAGGGACCAACGTGGGCCTAGCGCATTGTCGGCACCTATCAAATTCTCCGCGCACATTTTGAGCTGGTATCCATTCGTTATCAGCATTTTTCTGTAAATGTCGTACGTGATAAGTTGCACAACCAGATTCTGATAGTCTGAGGGACAGGAGTTCAACGCTGACCCACTCAAAATGTTCTTCATCATGAATAATAGCCGTAGTTCCTAGAAAAAACGATTAATGGATCAATAACCATTTGATACTATTTGTCCAACATTATGCTAACCATTTAGCTCGAGATCGAATCGGTTGAATATGTTCCGTACCCGCCATAACATCTCCTTTAATACGAGGGTCGCTGCATAAGTTTCTGGCCTAACCTATTTCTAGTGTTTTCAGATGCAATCTGACGATTCCATCGGAAAGTTTGACATTTTTTAGGCTAAAAAACACTATAGCAGGGATTGTTTTACATTACTGGGTGTGTCTAAGCCTCCTTTCCAAGGGATACCTGGAAAAATCGTAAATTTCAACAATAAACTTCATTTTTCGATATGGGAAAAATTGATTATTCTGTTGTTAACCACCTAAAAAACTTCGTTTATCCTCAATTTAATAATTTCTGGCTAACGAAACCATTATTTTATATTTTGGGCCTGCAAATATTCGATTGAATGAAGGCATGTCAAAAGGTGAAAATTCATGAAGTGACAGATAGTTCCCAGTTTTTGGCCCATTTTCTGAATATTTTCATTCCAAAAATGTCCGCTTTATTCAGAATTCATGGCACTACAATTCCAAAGTATAATAACAGTCATGTAAATCATTTTTTCCCAGAACGAAGCATTGCAATTTGCGAAAATCGTCTGTTTTTTCAGAAATAAGGAAAATTTTCTGTTATTTTCAAACACGATACTATCACTAAAACCTTCTGGGATGACATGCTATACTCATAAATGATAATTTTGTAATCTCTAGTGACGATTGAGGGTTTTTCAGCCTATCAAAATTGCATTATTGAGAGTTTGTAGGCCTATTTTTGTCCAAAACTCTTTTTTTTGGTTGAAAACATATTTGGAGGTTTTGACATGTGAAAGGCATTCACGTCACTAAAACCACATGTAATATTGACCTCATGCATGTCATACTAATGCCAAAGGATGCCCCAATCTCACTATAAGTCGTATGAGAATATTCCACCTTTAGGTTTCGCACAGCATCAATGTGTTCCGGCGTTACAGCTGATATTTTACGACTTTCCTGCGGACTCATTTTTGAGTGAGCTTCGTCAACATTTAAAATCGTTATATCACCTCTAAATACTTGGAATGGACCGAGTTTTATCACCCAAAGCGAATTTGAGGCTATCACGGCACTCTTGTTGAGTTAGTCCCTCTCAAAAATCGGAAAAAATCATTGCACTAAAATGTTTGCGGAAAAATTCAATTTTTTCATCAAATTGAAATATTCAAGCTCATAAAACACCACGATCCGTAGTGAATCAACAGTTGACGTCTGAGGAAACTTAGCTCAAAAAAGGTCAAACTTTTTGACTGACCCAAAGTTTTGCTTCGGAAAACACTAGAACTAGGTTAGGCCAGAAACTTAAGCAGCAACCTACGTACAGCATCATTTTGGAAACTTTCTTCGAATTCTTGACCATTTTCAATCCATTTGAGACGAAACCTAATATTTTCATCTATCCACGGCTTACGAGTTTCCTCGAGTGTGGCTTGTTGACCACGAACAGTAACCTCAAGACCTTCAAAGAATATAAAGTGCTAATCGTTTTCCATATCTGAATTGTTACCTCTCATTTCATATGTCTGAGAAAAAAACCTTTGTATTCCGCCAGAAAACGAAGATAAACTTTTGTTAAGGCATGTCCGAGATGAACCGCACAATCTCGATGCTTTTGCAAATAGTCTCCAGGTACATATGACCCACACGTGCAGCGAGAACCGTAAAGACGGACATCACGTGCTCGCACTTCTCCAAATCCTGAAAAGTTTCTGTTGTAATTGACATCGTAAAAGCAAGAGGTCGAGAGTAGGAGGCCAATAATTCGACCCTCGATCCAAACGCCATAGTCTTCATGATAAATCATACACTCCTTATCTAAAATAAGAGGTTTTTAATAGTTTAATACTATTTTTATCCATAAATTATCGATCGGTTCACCTCGAAGCTTTTCATCGAAATTGTCAATACAATCATTTACTTCGTCCGCAAATTGTTCAAAACGTTCTGAATCTTCAATAATGATTTTACTCGGTTTCACCATATCTTCATCGTTTCCACTGAAACTAACATAGAAATAACACCAAGATTTTTTCTGAGTAAACGCAAGAAGTTGAGCGTCTCTAGCGATAGCTCTAGCGTTGGGAATACCATATGCCAAATTACGCACTTTACACGGACGATCTTGATGATAAATGGAACCAAATGAAAGGATTTGTACTTGAAAATTATTTCGTACATTATAATCAATCGTTACCTTCGTAGTACATTCGAAATTGTTCAGTCAACCTTTCGAATTCTCTTGCAATTTCAACAGCCGGATCTAAATTTGCCATCTCTCAATTATCAAATAACTTGGTAAATTTTGAAACAATCAATCTAACTTCACGAATTTATTCTGATTTCAACTTTTCGCTGAATTTTGCCCCTTTACGCATCGATTTTGCACTCTGAATGATTGAACTACAACTTTCAAAGCTTAATTTTTCATTTCAATTGACAACTTTTAAAATTTCAAATACTGCAAAGGCAACTTTTCGAAAAAAGAATCACAACACCATGTTTGCATTTCTATAAAAAAAAATATCGCCCAATCAATCGAAGTAACCTAACCGATTAGTTGTTTTTCCATTTAATTCATTGAAAAAAAGTGAGTATGTTGTGACTTTTCAGTTTTTTTGCACAAGTTTTTGGTAGATTGGGGGTTTTGGAAAATCTATAAAACTCGGGGTGCTTCGTTATGTTTCATCTTTAATCTCTTATCTCGCAAAGTTTTCATAATTTTCAGCGACGACAATTTTCTCCTCAGAAGCGCAAGCATTCAGAATAAATAAATAAAATAAACATTCAACGATCAGATGCTCTGTATTTTATTTAAAAGCTTATCCAAACCTAACCAAATATACCGCTATCATCAGTGTGGCTTGACACATGTTCTTGAACTTCATGCCGAGGGAAGTATGCAGGCGTAGCGCAATCAGGGCAAATCCAAAATTCATTGCGCACATTTTGAGCTTCCACCCATTCGTTATCAGCATTTCTCTGTAAATGTCGTACGTGATAAGTTGCACAACCAGATTTAGATAGACTGAGAGATTGGAGTTCAACGAGGATCCATTCAAAATGTTCTTCATCATGAACAATAGCCTGAGCTTCTGTGGGGGATCATAATTTGATAATATTTCGATCAACTTGATACTCATATTGACGTCATAATGTAAATGCTAACTTTTAAGACCCCAATCGAATTGCTGGAATTTTTCAATCAAATCCCGTGACATCTGTGCTAATACATCATTACCTACTAGCGGACCAACATTCAAGCCATAAAAATGTGTTTCCAAATGGCAAACAATTTCAGCGCCAGTGAAAACTTTGCGACAAACTATGCATTGATGTCCACAATCAATATTTTGGAAACTTTCTTCGATTTCTTCACCATTTTCAATGAGTTTGAGACGAAACCTAATATTTTCATCTAACCATGGCTTACAAGTCTCCTCAAGCGTAGCTTGTTGACCACGAACAGTAACCTCAAGACCTTTGAAGAATATAAAATGTAAACCGTTTTTCATATTTGAATGATTAACCGTCAATGACGGTACATCATTTTATGTATGTCTGAAAAAACCTTTGTACTCCGCCAGAAAACGAAGATAAACTTTTGTTAAGGCATGTCCGAGATGAACCGCACAATCTCGATGCTTTTTCAAATAATCCCTAGGTACATACGATCCACACGAGCAGAAAGAATGATTAAGACGGACATTACGTGCCAACACTTTCCCAGATCCTGAAAAATGTCTGTTGTAATTGACATGATAATAGCAAGAGCTCGAGAGATGGACATCAATAATTTCAGCCTCGATCCAAATCCCATAGTCTTCATGATAAATCAAACACTTCTCATCTGAAAAAATATTTTTATTAACTAAATCAATACCGTTTTCCATGTTGATTTTATCGGTTTGCTCACTTCGAAGAATTATATCGAAATCGTCAATACAATCGTTTACATCCTTTATGAATGCTTGAAAATTGGCCGAATCGACCTCATTGGCATCAATATTGACTCTATCAGGTTCCATCGTATGTTCGTCATTTTCACCGAAACACACATGGAATTTACATTTTGAGTTCTCCGGTGTAAACGCAAGAAGTTCAGCGTCTTTAACGAATGAAACATCATATGAGGACCCCAAAGTACGCACTTTCACTGGATGACCTTGATAATAAATAGAAAAACGACAAAATCGTACATATAAATAATTAAATCGTTACCTTGGTAAAACACTTCAAACTTTGTAGACAATTTTTCGAAATTTTCTGCGATTTCAATGGCCGGATCTGGATTTGCTAAAGCTATCATTTCAATTATCAATTAACGGGAAATTTTGGAATACTTCTGGGTACAATTCACACAAAAATTTTGATTTTAACTTCTCGCTTGTTTACGCGTCGATTTTGCAGCATTTATTCATTTCAATAAACAATTTGTAAATACTTCAAAGCCAACATTGTTGGGGAAAATTTACAAAAACGTCAGATGTTTGCATTTCTACAAATATCGGCAATCAATCGAAGTAACCGTCTGATTGTTGGAAAATATTTTAGAAACATCGTCATTGCCACATCATTTTTGGTTCCGAGAGTCTCAATATTTTCCATAGGATGGATACAAGTATTTTGGACAGTTATGTTAGATGCATGTATCGATTGCATGCATGCAAGTCTATTCGTTTGCATAAAACTGTAAAAGTCGTTAGTGGAACCAAGTATCAGGTGGTATCAAGCTTAAGTCCAGAGCAGTAAATTTTTTGTCTACCCAGTCAGTGTGGTTTAACAGCGTTGCAATGTACGGCGTACATTGTACGCTAGAAAATGTCATCGCGTGTTATCTCCAACAGCAAATTTACTGGCCTGTCTAAATCACTCGGTCAACGAGAGATATTCTGAAATTTGATCATCATGAAATTTCTTTACAATTCATTATTTTCACAAAGATTCGACTTGCTTTTGTTTGAAAGAGCCCTCTTGGAAATCAATGGCAATATAAAACGTGTTTTGTTGACATCAAACTGCAATCAAATGGAGTAATACGTTGAATTGTTCGTATTTGACGATTGTAGGGCAATGATTGACTGTATATTTGATAACGAATTTTTGTGACTTTCGGAATAAATAAGATTGTAATTGTTGATGCTTTCCCATGACCTTATCTCAATTCAATGGTTCAGCTAGATGAAATAATAATGCGTTGCATAGAAATACTCTTAATAGATCGCATGAACTAAATCAATTTACTGTTTCAATCAAATCAGTACAAGTTCAAAGTTGCTTTCGATTGGAGGACCGTTTCGGGTTCTTCACTTATTGATTTTTGTTATTTCTTCTTTAAATTCACGCTTTCAAAACTGAGACTGTTCTAAATTCATATGTTTCTTGTGTGAGTAAATTGACTGCTCATCTGATTTGTGATTTAAAAGGAGAGTGAAGCGAAGTAAAGTGAAAGTGAGATCGTTTCTGAAAAAAGGTGTAAATCGCGAATTGTTTTATAATTTTGGGTTCAAACATGGAGAAATTATTGCTAATACTGTTTGTCGTGTGTTTTACTAGTTTACTGACAGGTGAGTCAATACGTTGATATTCAGAATGAAATTGGGTAAAACAAAAATCTCCCCAAAAAATATTTCATATTATATCGATTTTGTTTAAATTTTTGTCTCAATTTTTGCTTTTTTGTGTCTAAATTGTCAATATAAATGCAATTAAAATACAAAATGCAACCATTCTAAAAGAAGTGGAACCAAATCCGACACAGAATGAAACAACAACGATCGATAGACTCCCGGACAACTACCCACAACAGTACAAAGTGGCCGTAGGTGATAGTACGAAATTGACATGTGCAATCGAAAACTACGACAAACTCACATCTTGGAGACGCCAAGATGGTCAGCCACTGCCAAGCAGTGCACATCTTTCCAACGGTGATTTTGTATGATATTTTAATTTCTATTTTTCAACATCATTCAAACATTTGGTATGGTTTTTTAATCAATTTTGATTAATTAATTGCAAACGTTTTATAGATGATCGACTACACACAAAGAGATGCAGCTGGGCTGTATGAATGCATTGTACATGAATCACATGGTGAATACCCGATTGTAGCAGTCGAACTTGTTGTTGTTGGTAAGATAATCTAGCAGAGCTTAGATTAGAGTTGATTTCCGATTGGAATTTTTTTAAATTTCCTATAAAGGAACTTCTACTCCTCTTTAAAAATCTATATAAATTACAATCTTCATTTAAAATGAAGCAACTTTTCGGAACAATATAATTTTTGCATTGTTTTTCTACAGAATTGCCGAAAGTAGTTTTTTACCCAAAAAAATCATTGACCGTGCAAATTGGTGAGCGCGTTAACATCCGCTGTGATGCCACTGGTGACGATCCAATTCACATTGAATGGCACAACGAAGACCATCGACCATTCCCACCGTAAGATAAAAATGTTTTGAAAAGTTATTTTATTTAATATTTTGAAGAAAAAAATTCAAGAAGGGTATTTTGTAAACCGAATCGATTGTGTTCAAAAATCCATTTTGTAACATTTCTTCGTGCATCACGCCAAATATTGATTTATTTTCAATTTAGAAATGTACGAGCAACGGGAAACAACTTGGAATTCTTACGAATTACACCCAACAATTCTGGTCGCTACTATTGTTCAGCATCCAATCCCAATGGAGTGGTTACCAGAACGGCAGACGTGATTGTACAGCATAGCGAAATCCCAGATCTATCGTCAGAACAAACGGAGAATGGAAATTGATTTAAATGCAATTGAACGAGTGACAAGTCTATCAGTGCATAAAGATTTTTTATCACCATACCGTTTCCAATTTGAACCTCTTTTGAAAGTTTAACGAAAATAACCAATTTTCGAACATTTTGAATGTCGTGAAAAGTAGAGGAAATAAAGGCAAAATGAACAAGGTCATTTCATGTGTTTCTTTCTAGATTTTTTACTTTTCTGCAAGCACCACGAAATGCGTCGCATTCAAATTATCCAATTCATTTCTACTCGTTGACATCACACTATATTAATCATCAGATACGTAAAGTCAAGTCTAAATCAGTCGGTCGATGAAAGAAATTCAGACTGTCAAACCGCAACAATTATTTTTGTTTAAAAACAAGCACAAAGACCACACTAAACCAATTCCCATGTTATTTATTTTCCCTTCATGTGTCAACATCTCATGAAAGCATTAGAATATTTTCATTTTAATCAGCACTGAAATTAATTTCATTGATAACGAAATCTTAAAAAGGGACAAATTCATGCATTTCACTGACTCAATGGTTGCAGCAGGCTGTAGTTGGTTTAGAAAATTGACAAATTATAGCGTGATGATTATCAGTTTATTTTCATAGTTCATCGTTCGAATTAATGAGCCAGTTGCTGAACCATTCTGAATTGATATTTCAAAGATTTCGAAATTGTTTCGAGATATTTCAAGAGATATTCAAAAATTTATATTTTCAAATTGGGAACATTTATCTCCATGCTTCAAGACAGTGTATATTTTTTTTAAAAAGTGGTATTTTTATGGGAATTTTTCTTCTCGCCTGAAAATTGAAATGAATTTCGAGATTAAATCAAATTTCTCGGCAAAACCTTTGTTTCTCGCTACGATCGAGTCGGATCTCCTTCAATTTTGGTCGATTTTTTTCGAAAAATAAATATTGAATCGGCAAAATTACACTAAATCATATCTTTCGTTTATTCATTTCTTGACTTAATTCGATTTGCTTTCATTGAATCGCTTCATCAATCCAAAATACGGCACCATATTCAGTTAAGTTAACTGAGTTAACTTATCAAATCATAAATTTGAATCGAATTGCGTGAACGAAACGTAAATAATCCGGCAATTTGGCCGCATCAATCGATTATTCCAATCAACCATTCGATATGAAGTTTAAAATGTTAATAAGAAAACCATAAATTGTCGATCTCTACCCATTTCTCAATCATACCAACGCCCACGCTCGCATTTGAAACTCGATTGAATGTCTCGGAACTAATGTAAAATTATGATAATCATGTTCATCTGTTGCTTTGCCTTAATTTCCAAGATTTCAAACTTGTCACATAGCCGTTTCAATCATCATTTCAGCGTCACAGAGTCAATTTCAACGTTTGAAAATTCAAGCCCATGTAAAATGGCAATTCCATTTGTTGTCGCGACGTTACACATGGAACGGATTCGTTTCGAAGAGGACCATCAGAAATCTCAAACAAGAAAAAGGGTCTTAACACAGTGAAGAAGAAACAGTCGTGCCAAAACCCAAGCCAAATACGGAACAAGAAGGAAAAGTCGAAAAAAGAATCGAACAAATTCAACACGCTTCGAATCGAGAATGAATGCATTCGGACGAAGCAGGTCGATCGAATGTTATGTTTTTTTATTTATCGCTTCACTCAATTGCAATATTTGGGCCATTGAAAAGAATCGAAACGAAAAATTGCGTTATAATGTATGACAAGCAAAATATGTGTATTTTCTCTTTCAATTCTGGTTTCGTGTGGAAAATGATTGGTGAAGAGAATCTACTTGATTTCAATATGTGTATGTGAACACTTGGGCATTTTGTCGATGCAGCAGCAGCATTGACGTTGTTATTATTTTTGGTGCCCGATTTGATTTGATTGTTGTCATTACAATACCTTTTTTTTGCTTGCTTGCTTGTTGGCTTGTTCGCTGGTCTCTCTTTCCACATTTGTAACGTAAACTTACGATCGTTATCCGATTCACATTACATACTCATACATAGAGGCAACATGTAGCCAAACTGTCTGGCATACACAATTTTTCTGTGTTCCATTTTCTGTTCCACTGTTTCGTATATGGCTTTTCTCGTCTCTCTTTCCATTGTATACCCATAGTTTGTTGTGCTCTTTTGTTCTCGTTTTCTTTTGTGTGTTTCGTTATCTTTATCAATAAGTTATTGGTTTGTTTTCTGTTTATTCGTTCGTTTTTCCCATTTTTCTTTGTTTAGTTTTGTTCGGAATGGAAAAAAGAACGAGCGAGCGAGAGAGAGAGAGAGAGAGTGAGAGAGAGAGTGAGAGAGAGAGAGAAGAAACCTATAAAAACTTAAAAATGGTAGGTAGACAATAATATTTTTTTGGTGTGTGTGTGTGTGTTAAGATTTGTAATCAAATAACCAATCGATCAATAGCTACTGATTGTGAACATTACCAAAATACAAAGTTTCGTGCACTTCTTTATTTTCTCTCATTCTTATATCTTTTAATTAAACAATGCATTGATTAGATTGAGGTAAACACGAATAAAAAAAAATGTTGTCAAGAAACTACCAATCGAGAAAAAAGTGGTGCGATTTCAAAATGTAAACACTAAAACCGTAAGTTACGGTTCGTAACTTTGTTTGCTGTGAAGTGAATTCGTTATCAAGTGAATTTCACTAAATGGTAAATGCGCTTATCAGTGCAACAGTTTCGATCAGTAAATAGAAGAAATAGATTACGATTCGTTATGATTCGGAGCAATTCATTGTATTCGAACATTTGGCTGATGAAGCAGCTTGTTGCTGCACTATGCCCGTACAATCATTCAGAATAAATATTTACATACGACTAGCTTCTTGCCTTACGCGATCGTCACGTTTTTTCCATTCCACAGTCTTTTTTCTATATTTGATTTTTAGTGTGTTTTTTTCCGTTTACAGCACAAGTGCAGGCACGCACTTTCTGCTGTCTTGCGATAAAAAAATGCCTTATAGATATGCGTTGGACGACGACAGTTGCAAATGGAAACAAGAAATATACATATTCAACGAAGTCATTTTGAGTCGTTTTTACTTGAATTGATTTTGAGTTGCTGGTGTCAAATGTAGATAATTGCTAATTTATGATGGTGCCAAATTCATTTTTAAAACTCAATATTTTTTCAATTCGTTTTTTCCCTTAATTTCATGGTCGAACTGCGATTAGTTCAAGCGATAACGAAGAACAACAACAATCATCCAGTGAAATAGGATCGATTCATTTTTTGGTTTCATGTGTGGAACGAATCGATTCCACTTCATTTTTGTCATATGTTTCACTATGAGTGTAAAATATCTATCTACTTCGATGGAATTTGTTCAAAACGTTTCATGTTTCAAGTTTTTCTAGGCGGTTACAGTTAACATATAACTTTTTAATATGTAGCATGTCAATTGGCTTGTCGTCAATAGGAACTGAAAATTTGAATGTAAAAAATTGAACTTTGTTTGATCGCAGTTGAGTTTGTATCACCTTTTTCTTTGATTGAATGCGTTCTAAATGAGGCATATGTGCTCAAATAGTTAAATGAATAAACGGGTTGGATTTTTTATCCTCAGAATACAAATTGATCATGAAAGAGGCACATTTGCACGGACACAAATGACTTAGATCGGGTTTTTGATTTCGAAAGGTGAGGCGTCGAACAAAGTATCATAGCTTGGTGGTGGTGGCACTGGTGATGGATCTGACGGTGCGGATTCTAGATTGTTGGCAGTTCTAAGCTCACTAACAGAGTCAATAGAGTTTGTTCTTTTTCTTGGCACCATTTGGCAACATAGTATTATAGAAAAAAATTGCCTCAATTGAGAATAAAGAAACTACCGCCAAAACGATGGCAGTCTCATTACCACTTGATTTTGCCATTTGTTCTTCGATCATCATTTTCGATCGAAGTGATTTTGCATCGAAACTCAACATTGCTACATTGATCACATTTGAACGTGTTATATTACCTCCTGTGATTCTGGCTTCCGCACAAACCGTTTAAATGAATATACGGAAAGTCTTTGCATATATCTTCAATGCTAACATCAATTTATGTATTAAACTATGTAATATATCATTTGGCACGTAATTAGCTGGAATTGGCAATGGTTTTTTTGTTGTTGCCTATCTCCAATTCATTCAAGATTAATGGCAGTGATTCATGTGTGATGTGAAGCGGCTTATCGACGCGAAGTTATCTAAATTGGGAATCGTATGACTGAATTAGCTTCAAGAATTTGGGATATTCCAATGGATTTCAATCAACGTTGTACAAATTCTGTCAAGTTGACCTATTTAGTCAGCCAAATGTGTTGACTATGACTGACTAGTGATTGGAATTTCAATCATTTCATAGTGCACACAAAATAGAGTCAAAATGTCCCAAAATAGTTGACTATTTCAATCACTAGGCACTCATAAATTGTATGGAGAAAATAGATTAAATGACTAACATCTAGTCACCATAGTCAAGAAAATTTCACAAGTGTAGCTCCAAGTACTGAAATAACAAAAAATGATTCAATAAAATGAAACCGTATCAAATTGAAATGCGTTGATATCAAATTGGTTTTCGAAATGAGTGGACAAATTCATTCGCTTTTTTATTTCATGAAATATAATTTAAAATGGGAAATATAATTTAAAATCGTGTGTCTGAGTCATCTTCCACTTTAACAGGGAATAAAGTATCGTAGCTTGGAGGGGGTGTTGGTGGTGGTGTTGATGCGTTTGGCAATGGTGTGATCGCGGACGGAGCTGTTGGCACGCTTTGAGATGGTGGTGCAGATGGAACATGCTCACTTTCGTCCATCGTATGTATAGGTACAATAACTCTGTCAGGATCTATGCGTCTGAAAGTTTGAGGAGAAGTAGCTGTTGTCTGATTCGGTGTTGTTGTATAATTCGGGGTTGGGCGTTCTGCAATGTATTTACAACATTTACGAAACAAATAAGTTAGCACAATAAAAACTATTCCCCCAATTAGACCAAGATAAATATATGGCCAGATATATGATTTTGATTCTGATTCTGAACTTTTTTTGACTTTTAAGTTTGCTTCAATCCATGGGACATATGATGAAATGTTAGTGTACGTAAGGGGATCTCCTAGGAAAAAAGTGAACAAAAATAGAGTCAATTGTGAAAATGGCTCAAACAATGAACATTAAGTAAAGTTCAATACCTGAATTGTGGTACCTATCAAGTGATATTATTCCCACCAAGTAGTTGTTTTCTGTCAAAAGGCTTCCTGCAAATGAAAGCAAACGAATCAGTACAATTTCAACACATTGATTTCATTCAATGATAAAAATCTACCTTTGTCTAAAGTATATTCAGATCCAGAAAATTCATTTTCTTTACAAACAATTCCATACGGGTTATCCTGGTGTATTTGTTTTGTTTTGCATTCCACATAACTGGTATCGTTGTATTGGAACTGTTGGTTTGACTAAAAAAACGAATTAAATAATCCTACTCAAAACTCTGGCTACTTCATAAGAAAACACTTAAATCTCATTTGGATTTGTATCGATTTTGAATCAACTTACGTAAGTAAATGTGACGATGTCTATGTTGGAACTTCTATGCCATCCACTTATCGTGAGATTTCTATTCATATCATTTGACCAATTGATTGGCAATTGCACTGGTTGAATTTGATTTGAAAACTCAATTTCTGACACCGTTTGCAATAGCGCTATATTATTTCTCAGCGGAAATGCACTGAACGATTCATGTTGATCGATATTTTCAATGCTTAGATTAGTACAGGATCGGCCCATTCGAGTATACCCCAAAATCGCATTGATCCAGTTAGGTCTGTATTCATGAACACAACTGGCAGAAGTCAAAATGAAACGGTTGTTGATGACGGCCCCACTGCAGATATGTATCGTTCCGAATACAATACTATTAAATTGAATCGATACTTGGAATGAAAATTGATAATCGGCGGCATCACTTCGAGGAGCTATTCCGATGTTTCTGCCACTTGCACTGTCAACTGCTACACAAACTGCATGAACTAGCACGATAATCAAAAAGACCTTCATTATAAAAGATTGAAATTCTAACATATTACACCGAACACAAATTCTTGAACCGTACAGTTGCGACTGTTTTCAGTGACGGGTAGAGCATATAACAACAACAGCGTACACTGAATAATTCAGCTAACATTTCGTTGAAATATAATCTACATGAGTCAGGTTAAATCATCTGGTTATCAAATGAGTGGTTATCGACAAGCCCGACTCATTTCCAAGTATGATATGTTGTTAAAAATAATGAAAAATGGATTTTTTCATAATAATTCGACAAAAGTCCATAGTGCCAAATGTTTCCTGTTTCGAATGGAATTTTTTTTAGTCATTTTTCACTTGCATACAACTGAAAGATTTGTGCGTTTGGAAGTAGACGTATGTTTTTTTGACAACTTATATTTTGATAAAATAGAGTATGATTCATTCGTGGCTTTTGGATATTCTCATTTCAATCTTCACGAATATTTTTGGTTGACAAACGACGTCACAAAAGGAAGCTATCGTTTATCGGTTGAAACGAATAAATTATTTCAAGATTTTCACGCTGTCAAGCACTGAATGAATTAAAATGTCTGATCCTCAACTGTTAGAAACAAATTCACAATTGAAATAACTCTGCACTAAGCATTTCAAGTCAGATCGAAACGGTTATCATTTCCAATTTCTGCAATGGACTATTGAAATAGTAATCGGTAACCGTTTGTCCCGTTACAACTAGAAGCTAACTGTTCACAACAAACTTCGATTCAATTCTGATCTTTATAAGTGCAAAACCGGCTAGACTATATCGTATGAGTATTACTCATTTGTCCTATCAGGTGCGACGAATTTTGCACGTGTTTCTCATGTGCGTAGCTCCATGCATTTGATACGATCGTATTCACCCAATTTATTGATAAATTGAAAGCGTCGAACTTTGATGAGTCCAAAGTTGAAAACGTAATAATCAACAAAGTTCAAAGGAATTGGCAAAACGTTTTTTCGTTGCCTATCTCCTTAGGGAATAATTCCGTAAGACTTTTTTTGTATACTTGACGTCATTTAATCCGATTTCAACTTAGTATCATGATTAGCTCTAAGTACTGATGACAAAAAAATGATTCAATGAAATGAAACTGAGTCAAATTGAAATGCATTGATATCGAATTGGTTTTCAATAAAGAAAAAATTCTATCGCTTTTTTTCAATATTTCATGTAAGCCTATCTCATATATTTCAAAGTAATTTAAATTGGAGATCGTGTGTTCGAGTCATCTTCCACCTTAACAGGGAATAAAGTGTCATAGCACGGAGGGGGCGTTATCGGTGATGATACGTTTGGCAATGGTGTGATCACGGGCGGAGCAGTTGGCACAGTTTGAGCCGGTGTTGCAGATGGAATTGGTTCATCTTCGTGTATCGTATATATAGATACAGCCAATCTATCACGATGTATTCTAGACGCAGTTCGCGAAGAAGTAGCTGCTGTTCGATTCGGGGTTCTAGATGCTACTGGTGATGGTGTTGATCTTGGTATTGTCGTTGCAATTCGTGCATTAAATTTACGAAATGAAAATATTCCAATAAAAGTTGTCACTCCAATCACAATAAGTAAAACCAGCCAGAAATTTGAATTGGATTTGGATTCCGGTTTTGGACTTTCCTTGACTTTTAAATTTACTTCGATCCATGGGACATATGATGAAATGTTATTGTACGTAAGGGGATCTCCTAGAAGAACAAATGTGAACAAAAATAGAGTCAAAATTGCAAAGTGACGACACGTTTTGACGAAATTTACGGCGAACTCATGAACTAACGAAATTTCAATACAAAATGATACGAGAGTTCGTGGCGCTGCAAGCACTCAAAAGATATTTTGTACTGAAGTGTCGTCAGCTTGCAAAATTGTGAATTGACTCAAACAATGAGCATTAAGTAAAGTTCAATACCTGAATTGTGATACCTATCAAGTGATATTATTCCCACCAAGTAGTTGTTTTCTGTCAAAAGGCTTCCTGCAGTTGAAAGCAAAGGAATCAGTACAATTTCAACACATTGATTTCATCCAATGATAAAAATCTACCTTTGTCTAAAGTATATTCAGATCCAGAAAATTCATTTTCTGTACAAACAATTCCATACTGGTCATGATGGGATGTTTGTTTGGTTTTGCATTCCACATAGCTAGTATCTTCGTATTGTAACTGTTGGTTTGACTAAAAAAAAACAAATTAAATAATCCTACTCAAAACTCAGGCTACTTCATAAGAAAACACTTGAATGTCATTTGGATTTGTATTGATTTTGAATCAACTTACGTTAGTAAATGTGACGATGTCTATGTTGTAACTTCTATGCCATCCAGTCATCGTGAGATTTCTATTCATATCATTTGACCAATTGATTGGCAATTGAACTGGTTGAATTTGATTTGAAAACTCAATTTCTGACACCGTTTGCAAAAGCGCTATGTTATTTCTCAGCAAGATTGTGCTGAACGATTCGTGTACAATGATATTTTCTATGCTGAAATTAGTTCGGGATAGCCTTAAATCACAATTTATTCGAGTATGCCCCAAAATTGCAAGGATCCCGTTAGGACTTCTTTTATGAACACAACTGGCCGAAGTCAAAACGGTTGTTGATGACGGCCCCACTGCAGATATGTTTCGTTCCGAACACAAGACTATTCCATTGAATCGACACTTGGAATGGAAATTGACCAGATGCGGCATCGTTTCGAGGAGTTATTCTGCTATTTTTGCCACTTACACTGTCAGCTATTACACAACCTGTTTGAACTAACACGATTATCCAAACAAATTTCATGTTGGAAAATTGATCTTCTAACATATTTTACTGAACACAATTCCTTGAACCATAAAATAGTGACTGTTTTCAATGGCGGATGGAACACCTTTACACTGACTAATTTAGCCAACACCTCGCTGAAATATAATCTATATGAATCGGTATTATGACTGGCTCTAATTATTGATAACGAAAATCCTACAAAGTTAAACCAAATCAATTGGTTATCAAATGCGTAGGTATCGACAAGTCTATCTCATTTCTGAGTATGAGATGTCATTGGAAATAACCAAAAAAATTCGACCGCAAAGATGTTGCTCTCTTGGTTCTATTCGTAGTGATGCATGGATATTATCCTTCATAGGCGATTAGTCTAGGACTTATCCCAACTTTCTTGTCATTTTCATGTTTTACTGAAATTATCTTTATACGTGCAAAATAATTCCAAGTCATTTGTCTATGGCAATACCCCATTTATGACTATCAATTGAAATAAATCGATTGATTGATGTTTAACAACAAAGGCTCTATTATTGTCAAAAATACGCAGACAATGTGTTATGCTTATCAACTTTTTAGAAAATTTCCTGGATTTCTTAGTACTTGGAGAGTTAAACAATTCACGTCCAAACTGTTTTATAAATTTTCAATTTCAGTTTTTCGATAGGTATTCCATATTTTTCCATTTTCTGTGTTCAATATCGTGATGCAGGTGTACTAGAAGCGGTAATATATAAAAATTGGCGCAAAATACGATGAAAAAAAGGCCCCACGGAATAAAACTGTATCTCTTCCATTTCCATGTACTTTGATAATGTAAAAACGTTACATAAGGTGGACAAATTTAATGTATTTGATATCATGAAATTTAATTGTTATCACATTTATTTTTTTTGTTATCTTTTTTTGGTTCGGCGATGAGTCGGACGTGCATTTAAGCTACACGTGTCATTTTCCACGAAAATCAGATTATTTGAATTTGATGTTGATTATATGGAGGCGACCTGAAGTCCGGTTTGTTGGGAAACAATTCTTCGTAGCTTGGTGGTAGTTGAAATGATGATAGAGGTTCAGGTATGGTGTATCGTTGGGAGGCACTTGAATTTACACATATAGGCCTTAGATTGGAGACAGGCATGGTGTAGTCACGACTTATACTTCGTACAGTAGGTAAGGAAGGTACTGTTGCTGTTGACAATACTGTACAGCTTCTTTCACCTCGTCTTTTTCTACATTTGACCAACACAGCCACTATCACACACATAATGCCCAACAATGGATACACATAATATGCAGGATCAATTGTTATATAACTTGATTCTTTGTTTGTACTACTTTCACTATCGGGTTTATCAGCTGCCGTACCAATCGTATAAATTAACGCAATAATCAAGTAGAACTTCATGGTGAATTGCTAAAATTGAAATTCCAAGAAAATGTTTACAAATTCTGCGAACAAAAATTATCAGTGAACAGTTGGAACAATCTAAATGTTAAGTGTCTACAACGAAGAATGGAACTAGATTGATATATAGCTGTAAAAATGTATGATAATTGCGTCCTGTTTATCAATTGCCATTTGTTCGATAAATCACAATTTAAGCATACAGTTTTAATCAGAGCGTAGCTCCTTACTGACTGATTCAATTTTAATCAGTTGAAAAAATTCAGTTATCAAAAATTTATCCGCATTTTTTTTTGTACCTTTTTGAACAGCACCAAAGTTCAATCCATTTTTGTTGTCATAATCACGATTCGCTCAATGTGACGATCAAATCAAGACAATGATAACGAAACACAGACCGTCTGTAAAGCGAAACGATTGGGAATTTAGTGCGCAGAAATTGACAATCCCATTACATTTTTTTTTCGCATATAACCTCTACATTCGTTCGAAGGGCACAAAATTTCAGTTTCCGATATGATCTTTTGTCAATTTTTCAAAAATATTCTCAAAACAAGACTCACAAGATAATTCAATGAATTTTTTTCATAATTTTTTTGTTCTCTTTTCTTATTTCATGAAATGGTTTCAATTGTTATCACATTTAATTTATTGATACGGCTTATCACTTGTATGAATCCACCGGGGATATTAATCATTGTTGCGCAAAAAGCTCAATCGTTTGAACTAGACGTTGATCATACGAAGGTGTCTGATTTGTTTGGAAATAAATCTTCGTATTTTGGTGGGAGATCATCAGGAGATGATGTATGAGTCGATGGAGCCATATGGGATGTAGATGAAACATATGGTTGTGAGACACCAGAATTTAGATTAGAAACAGGCGTGGTGTAGTCACGACTTATACTTGAGACAATAGGTGATAAAGTGGCAGCCGGTGATTGCGATGACGCTTCACTCTGATTATTTCCACTTTTCGCATATTTGACCACCAGAACCATAATCACAAAAAATACTTTTACTGAAAAAAACGAAATGATAATCAATTTGGCGGGAGTCTTGTTGATTTCCTCAAACTTTGAATTTTCTTCAATCCATGGAAAAAATGATGATATACGAGTGTAAATATCGGGATCATCTGGAATTAAAATGTGGTATAAGTGAAAATGGGCATTATAATGTGAATTCAAAGCGTATTCAGATCTTGAAAATAAATTCTATTCCAGTTTATCGTTGTAACAAACTCAAGGTAAGCTGTCTCATTAAACTAGAGTAAAGGATTCTTCTCGGTCATTTGTGTTCATTTGAACTAATATAAAGCTATGAAGAATGTCATCAATTCCAAATAAAGCTCATCATTACCTGTATTCTGAAATGAAAAATCCACGATGATGAACGAGGCCGTGATCCGAGTGAAAAATTATGAAAATTGAAGCTGAAATTTGTGTATTTACCCATGTATGATAGCGTGATAATATCCCCACCAAGTAATTTCGCCCGTCCGAACTTTTCACTGACAAAAGGCTTCCTGTATGTAAATTCAAAGGGCTTCAGTCAATTCAAAATACCTCCCTTGTTACTATTATTTTCAACAATACGTTTCAATTTGGTTTTCAAATTGAACAATGAACACAATCAAAATCTACCTTTGTCTGGACGAAAATCGCTTAGAGACTCATAATTTTCAGCACAAACAACTCCATCAGAGATATCTAAATGTGTGTCTTCTGCTTTGCACTGAACAAAACTAACATTTTGATATTGCAACCCATCTCGCACTCTTAGTTCATTCCACCCGGATAATTGAAGTTCATGGTTTTCATTATCTGTCAAGTTTGAAGACAATAATCGCACTGGTTGAATCCAATGTGAAAAATTTATTTCTTGAACTGTTCGCAATAGTGCTAGGTTATTTTTCAGCGAGACCACACTGAATGATTCATGTTCACTGATATATTTTATATCAATTCGTTGGTTTAGTCGAAGTCTCCCCAAAACGGCATAAATCCATTTAGCACTTTGAGCATGGACACAACTGGCAGACGTTAAAATGAAACGATTGTTGACGATAGCACCGCTACAAATATGTCTATCATACGATTGCAGCGATACTTGGAACGGAAATTGATCATCAGTAGCGTCTATTCGGAGACTTATTCTGATATTTGTGCCATTTTCACGGTCAACTGCTACACAAACTGTATGATAGAGCACGATGAATAAGTATATATTCATTATGAAAAAATTGATGAGCAACTTTAACACAATTTTTCACTAAATTTAAGAAGAAAAAACTGATTCATTGAACTGTCAAACCTTTAACTGACTGCAATGACGGTTCGAACTCGTTTCCTAGATAACATGAATCAAGCTTATATTGATTTCAATTGTCTTATCGGATTTCGCATATTACTGAATCCATAAAACCCAATAAAGTCATGATAAACAATTGAATTCTTCTACCAATGGATAACGTCGATTCGTGTTATCGATTGTGTCATGCTTATCAACATCCACGTATGTTTTTATTTTTTTTTCGTTCCAAGAAATAGATATTTAAAGCAAACATTGTATACAGAGCCAAGAGTGTTAAAGGAAATTACCTACGAATGAGTAATAACGGGGACTTTTCCATAGTCTGAAATTCATCCTTTCTATTTTTACATCATTTTTACTATGTACTCGAGATATTTTTGGCAATTCCATGGTATTTTTGGTGGAAAATGTCAAATTGTCATGTCAACAAACTCCCAGAAGGAACTGATGAGGCTTTTATTAATTTCCAATGAGTTAACAATTTCAATTATTTGCTAAGTTGAACTAAACTCCGGTTTGTTGGGAAATAATGCTTCATAGCTTGGTGGTGGTGGAGTTGATGGATATAGATCTGATGGAGGTGCAGAAGGAACATGGCGTTCTGGAGTACCTGATATGATTTGCCTTTGGTTGGAAACAGGCCTGAATTCACCATGACTTATACTTGACACAGTAGGCAAGGAAGATACTACCGCTGTTGGTGCTGCTGTACGTCTCTGTCTCTCTCGACGTTTTAGGCATTTAACCAGTAGAAGTACAATCACAAACCAACAGATTAGTGAAAATATTAAAGTCAAAATCATTTTCACTGGGCTCATGCTCTCTGCAAGCTTTGAATTTTGTTCAATCCATGTACGAAATGATGAAATACGAGTATAAGCATCGGCATCATCTGAAATTAAAAACATGTAATGCAGTGCGAAATGTCAATAAAATGTGAATTTGAAAGGAAAATTTGTAATGTAGAAGACGTCCAGATCTACATCGATATCATGGCTTCATGAAAAATGTTATCCAAATAGAGCTCATTACCTAGAATCTGAAATAAAAATTTACAATGATGTTTTGTACAGAATTATAGGTGTACATTGTACAAACTCATCCATTTACCGAATTCTGGTAATGTGATAATATTCCCATCAAGTAATCACCACTAGCAGAACTTTTAGATGACAAAAGTCTTGCTGTAATTAAAGAAATCATTAAAATTTTCTTCAAGTTGACAACGATTAAAATATACCTGAGTATGGATCAAATCCGAATGCATCCTCCATTTTAGCACAAACAACTTTACCAGAGAGCGATGATTTACACGGTACCAAAGTGGCCTCTTCGTATAGTAACCGATCCTTGGGAAGTGATGAAAACAAAATTGTCTCGTTGAAATTATTTAGCCCAAAAAAAAACTAAAGACATGCAGTTGTCACAAAATTTACTTCTTTTTCAGTCCATCCAGACATTTGATAAGACACTCCGTCTGAACTTTCTGACCAGCCCTGAGGTGGCAATCCAACTGGTTTAATCCAGAATGAAAATTCCATTTCCTTAAATGTTCGCAATAGTGCTATGTCATACTCGTTTGAATTCCAATAGAACATCTCATGTTTTTTTATATTTTCAATGTTATATTTAAGGCCACCATCGTTATTTCCAAGCACTCCCAAAATTGCATAAGTCCATGTAGTGCTTTGAGCGTACATACAACTGGCAGTTGTTGTTGACCTGTGTAATATGATCGTATTGATACTTGGAATGGGAATTGCCCACCATCGGCGACTTTTCGTGGATTCACTTCGACTTTTGTGCCATTTTCACTGTTAACTGCTACACAAACTGTATGAACTAGCAAAATAATCAAATAGAACTTCATTATGAAAGATTGAAATGGAAATTCCAACAAGAAATTTTTTTCTAACAAATTTTATAAAGAAAAAAACTCATTCATTGAACATTCAATGGAACTGTTTGCAATGACAGTGGCAACACTTTTACCAAATGATATCGATCGAGTGTATATTGGTTTCAATTCTCTTATCAAATATCGCGCATGTTACTGATATTGCGCTGAAATCGCAATTTCCGATGGAGTCGCGATAAACCATTGTAATCTACCGATTAATATTCTATTCGCGTTGTCTCTTGTGCAATTGCTTATCAATCATCATGCATGTGTTTATTCTTCTAATTTTCTTTTTGGTTAAGCTATATTTTAAAGAAAAAATTGTACAACAGAGCTAACAAAACTTAGGGAATATACTTGAGAATGACTAATAATTCAAGTGGACTTTTTCTGAGTCAGAATTTTCGACTTTGTACTTTCATGAGAATTTTGTTGTGAATTCGAGACTGGACACAATAGTTGAGGAACTTGCTCTTGCTATTGATCTTGGCAATGTTATATTGATTTTTTTACATTGATGTTTCCCATGATGTGGGAATCCTATCAGCAGAACCACTATCACATATATGATAAATATTGGTGGAGTTGTAGGTGCAGGTGTATTTTGTCTGAAAACTGGACTTTGATAAAAGACAACGACTTGGTGTCTCTTATCAGCTCCGCAAAATACACGAAATATATAAAAAACCGTGA